AAGAGTTGAAATGCCTCGCGGTCCTATATAACAAAAGCAGCTTTCGCTCCAAATAGACTGCTTCAATCAAAATCTTATATTTGTGAAAAATATTAACCAATGAGAATGATGTAGAAAATGATTTGGAAAATAAAAAGGTTCAAGCACTTCATGCACCTGAATATTTGTGTTTCAGTTTTGTGGCCACTACTACAGACAAAAGGCGGTTGACTTCCTTTGGCAACCATTGGACATTCATGACATGCCTGATAATACCATCCTCCCTTAACATATTTAACTTTTTAAACTTTGGCGAGAGTAACACATTGAGTGATCTGAAATTAAAACAAAAATAAAGACACAATTCTCAGGAAGTTATGTTCACATTACACAATTTAAGAAAACAATTTAAAAGGAAATTTTACCACTTGAAGTTTCACAATTTTTGTGAGAGGGAGAAAAATTGCCTTATACATCAGTTTATCATAAGGGGTTATTGTCATGCCCAAAATTTTGATCTAAGATCCCACCTTCATTTGCATTTTCATAAAGCATCAAGGTCACGAGATACAATTGGTTTTTAATCCGATCACCTTCGAGCATTGCTTATGCAGAGATTATCAATTGTTGTGAACATTTTATTTTATGCATCACTAACTTCTAATCCCATACAAAGGTGTATGTTTGTGTTTCTTTGATTTCATGTGCAGAGATAGGTCTGAATTAAAAGCGTTAGGTGTTGCGCCTAGATTAGGGTTTTTAATCCCTCAAGTGTTCAAGTATGGTGAATCACCAAATCTCAAAGACTACTTCATCAAAGTTTAGCCTTTAACCAAAAGCACAGTCAAGATTTCATCATCACTGGCCCATATGTGCGTCAATATGTTTGGGAATGCGAGGAAATATCAAATTTGCAAGTCGATTCAAAGCACTTTGACCAAAAGTCAACATTTTCAAGATCAAGTTCAAATGATTGTAACTTCTTCATTATTAAATATTTTTGTGTGGTTCTTTTCGCATATGACTCTCCTTGACGTCATCTCCAACTTCTCTTTACAAGTCAAGAGCTAATTATATGCGGAGGATCATCAGAATTTTGAATACTTTAGAGGTCACTTTGCAAATTTGACCAAATCTCAAAATAGTTTTGCCAGACTTCCACAGATCATAACTTCCTCGATTTTTAATATTTTAAGGCGATTATTTTTGCATGCTGTCACAATTGATGTCATCTACAAGTGTTCGTCAAGAATCAAAGTCAAGTTGTGCTTTGGAACCTATGGAGTTTATTGAAACATTATAGGTCATGTTTTGATTTAGAATGTTCTTAACTTATAAATTCAATTCATGCCATAATTTTTTTTCTCAAGATATTGATTCATATGGAGATCATTCATGGTACAAGATGTTAAGTTTAGAAGATTCAATGTGGTTAAGGTGTGCATTGATTACTTGGCTCACAAAACTTACGCATTATTTCTTCCATGATGACTTCAAATGTAAGATGAAAGTAGGGTTTACATCAAGTTTCCATGACCATTTCAATTCAAAATTCTGAAAAGGAATACAAGTTTGGTCTCAGAGTTCATTATTGATCCATTTAAAGTTCCATCTGTGGATGTGATTCAAAACCCAAGACCTTTGAAAATCAACATATGATTGAGAGATCATTGGATTTTTTAATTTTAATTCAAATATTGGCAAGATAATTCAATTTAATCTGTTTCAAACAAGGATTCATCCAATTTCCTATATTGTTCTTAAATTTTATTCAAAGGGAATTCATTCACTTTCAAGTCCTTCTAGTCAAGGCATTTTCAAGGCACAATTTGATTCGACTTCATTCATCTCCATTCATCTTCATTCAAAATTTCAAACTTTATTCAAATGCAAGATTCAATCCAAGTTCCTCATATCATGAGTTCATCAAGAGAATTTGTTACATAAATTCTAAAGGTAAACTTTGAATAAATTCATCATGTTACAAACTTTGTGAGTTTCAAATTCAAGGTACATGAGAGGTAAACTATTATAAATTTTGTATGGACCAAATGTGGTCACGTATTGACCTTCACACAAAGAAACTTTTCTATGGTTATCATTTCTACACCAATGCTCCAATTTCCCTTGATAAAACCTGTCAAAAACCTGCATAATAATGCCAAACAAACTGTCCAAAAAAAGTCCAAAATCTCACAATTCTGCCAAGAAAAACAACAAAACATGTTGTCCATAAATCTTACATAAACCTGCTACTATTTTGGCCCTTGTTTTTGTCCATTGCTGCTTCCCGATACGAACAAAATGATGTTATCTACCTGCTGTTACACCAGTCCATACAAGTCTAAGACCTGCTGCAAAATTACACCAAATTAGCAAATTTGAAAGTTGCATCAAAAAGGCACCGAACAGAGGACATGATATGTTCAAATCTCACCCAAATTTTCCCTCTCAAATTTATCATTTCTCTCTATAAAAGAGACTCCAATACCACAGAAAAGGACACACGGAAACACCAAGAACCACACCAGAAACACTGAGAGAAATAGAGAGAAAACCAGAGCAGAATTTTCACCAGCAAACCTAGAAGAAATTAGGGGGGGAAAGAAAAAAATAGCCAAATATTTGCATAAATCTTGAGCATAAATCTTCCTCCAAATGCATAGTTGCAACAATTATTCTTCAACACCATTCATATCTGCAGAATCAAATATAATCCAACAAACTTACAGCCACTTCCTCCATTACTCTTAACCTGCAAAAGCTTCAACATCAACCGAGGAAATTGCAGATCCATAATAACATCTCACAGAATCTGCAATCGAATTCACAACAAACTATACACAAACAACAACAATAGTTTATCGTGATTTCATCTTCAACATCACGTCACCCGCATAACTGAAAATCATAAGCAAAAGGAGAAGTGTGAATCAGAGAAGAAGAAGAAAGAGTGGTAGGGAAGCATAATGCCCCCATCTTTGGTTTTCTATTTATCTTCGCTTCAAATCCAGATTCTATTTATTTCCCATTTCTCTGCATAATCTGTATTCGTTGAACGTAGCGATTTTGTCTTGTGTTCATACTCGTGAATCCATAATACTGTTGTTGATGTTGTTTTCAAATCTGAACCGTATTGTTGTTGCGAAATTTGAGTCGAAAATCTTGAAACTGAACCGTATTGAATAATTGTTGTTATTGTTTGAATTTCTGATTCGGCGCGAGAATCAAAATGCGAGAGGGCTAGAATGCATACTCTTAAGCGGTGTGAGTTGTTGTTGTATCAGAACAAAGTATTAGATTTTGAGAAGTTATTCTGTAAAATGGGAGAAGAACCGAGGAATCGTGAAACAGGTTATGTTGATGTTGTTGGATTTCACGATTGCAATTCAGAAGCAGAGGTCGTGGGAAGGAGTATGTTGCAAGAGTTAGAGAGAGCGGAGTTGGAGTTTTGGTTTTGAGTTTAAAGTAAGAACAAAAGGAACTAGAATGGAAGCAGAGCATTGTCTAAACATAGAAGATGAGTGTTGTTGTTGTTTGCTCTTTTGGGCATGAAAGATGAGAAAGAACCAGGGGAAGAAATATCGTGAAAGAGGAAGAGTGTTATGCGGCTACACTCACTTGGTTTCTAGGGTTTTTAGCAATCCAGCCCAGTCCGAATCCATACACACACCCCATGCTTGTTTTTATTTATTTCAGTAAATAAAACAATAAGCTATTGATTCTCACCAGGTCCAAACACCACCAGGACCCGGGGATTTGCCTCACCCTTTCAATCCATCTGAAACTACTCATTACACCACCCCCATTCTGTTTTTATTTTATTTTCAGCAAAAGAATACTATATTGGGCTTTAATCTATTTTTCCTCAACTTAAACCCAACCTAATCATACTTGCCCTTTTTATTCCGTTTAAAGAATATCCATAACAACAGAGTAATAATAGCTCAGTAGCAAGGCAGACCATTTGTGACAAAAAGGGACCCGAGTTCGATCCCTGGCCCTTATCTTTTTTTTATAAAGATTTTAAGTCTTTTTAACCTTATTTCACCAAATTTCATAAAAGAAAAGAGTTAAAAAATACTAGATTAGGTTTTATGATTATTTCTTTCCTACCATCATAAAAAATACCAAAAAAAAGATATATTAGTATAATTTAGTCTCTTTGTTTTAATTATTTTTAAATTATTAATTATTTAATTATTTAATTGTTATTCTAGTTAATTTCTTTTTTGATCATTTAGTCTTTATATTTTCGTTTGTCTACTCCAAGGGAAAGAATCAAATTTGTTGACTTCATGTCATCGAATATATCAAATATAATTGTGTGAATCTCTTTATCCATCTTTAATTTTTGTTAATCTCTCGAACTTTCCATCTTGTCAAATGCATTGTATTCTTCTTTACTTTTAGTAATGCACATTTTTCCTTTTTCTTTGGAAATAATAAAGCGTGGTGGCGACTCTTGTTTTTGCAAGTCAAATTAATTAAATAGCTTGATCTCCAATTATGGGAGAAGAACCAGAAGCTTGTGCTGAACTTTTTGTTAATGCAGAATGTGTTACCCGGTTATAAAGTCCTGGATCTTAGGTAATTCATCACAAATATGCAATTTCGTGACATTGAACGTGTTAGACACACATAATAAAAAAATTTCTAAATCAATAGTTGTAAAAAACTCGATTTTACCCTTGATGTCAAAGAGGGAGGCATGTGATATTTAATATAACTTTAGAGGCAATTTTCCCTTAAATATATGTATAGAAATATATTTTTCTCTTTTAATTTAAAAAAATACCCAATCCCCTTAACAAGAACTAAAATATAAATTAGTTATTATATAAACCTAAATCATAAAGAGAATAATTTAGCAAAATTCATAGATAATCAATCTCATTGAAAATAAAGCATGCAAGCGAAGCACATAGGTACAAGATGTAAGGCGAAGTACACAACTAAAAAGAAAACAAGTAGATTTTTCCATAACTTGAACAAAATTTCTTCATATCATTTTATCATTTTCAATCACTATACCAACTAGCACTATCCCAATTATCAGCACAACAATAAAAATCACAGTCTTCAAGCATGGGAGGCATAAATATTTTGATTTGCTCACAGCATCTTTTCCTCAAACTTTCAGTTGGATACATAGAAGAACAATATCGGAGGTCAAGAGATTCAAGAAGTGGACATCCATTAAGAATGGCAACAATCCCATCAGAAGAAAGCACAATTCCTGAAACTGTAAGACTGCGTAATCCAGGCATTGTTTTTGCAATAACAAACGCCTCAGCATTCTCAGATAACACATCTCTGCCGTATTTCAGTGACTTCAAAAGAGGGCAATAAGAACCAACAACTTCAAACGAAACCTTAGATAGGTATATGTTATTTGAAACATCGAGTTCCTCTATCAGTGGAAGTTTCTTCACAGCTTCAATAAACGCTTCTTCTGAAAGATAATCAAACTGTACAAGCCCAACGCGCCTCAGCTGAGTTGCACTGTAAAATTCAAATAACAATCATAACATATAATAATAATAAAACTAACTTCAAATTAGGAGAATAATCATCACCTATTTGCTATGTATTCAAGGAGCTCATCGTTTCCAAAAGAAGAAATATAAATCTCTTCTAGCTGACCACAACTTTTCCGAACTGCATAACGGCACATCTTCACCAAATCTTCATTATCATAGTGTGAATAGAGGGACATATGCATACGAATGGTGCGCCAGATGCAAGGTTCCTTGCAGAAATTCCACCACAAAGGGCAAACTAGACATGCACTTGTGATTATTTCAACGGTACGAAGCCTCTGTAGGATGTTCAATGTCACATCTCTAGGAAGTTCAAGCCAATTTGGTTTTGTTCTTGTGTTTTCCATTTTCTCTTTCGCTGTTGGAACCCTAGAAGACGCCGTATTATTTATTGATCTAGGGTTATTTGTAACCTTTTATAGTATGGAGTAAGCAACTGTTTTCATGAGTTTGTTAGGAATTTGGAATTGTCAATCCAAATAAATCGCAACCATTTTATTATTTTAAAGGTAAATTCATAATAACAAATAAATGTTAAAAGAAGTGCATATTTTTATTTTATAGGATTCTTTTTATTTTATGCCTTATTTTGGAATTCTCTTTTAAGAGCAATAATAAAAAGTTTTTTCTTAACATCTAATAAGAAAAAAAAATAACTTTTACGTTTATTAAGAACTAGTATAAATTTATGTTATATACGAGTTTTGTCTATTCTCATATTACACGTTGCGAAATTTCATTTATTAAATTTGAATTTTGTATTATATATTATAAACATTCATAAAATCACAAATATGATACAATAATAATATACAATAATTTGTATGCAATGATTCGAGTAGTATTTTAAAAAATAGTGGAAATATGATACATGTTAAATTGTAATTTATAGTATCAAAACAATGTGTGTCGAAGGGTTTAGAGGTGGATCGAAGTAGGTTGCTCGAAGGAAGTTAATGTCCAATCGAAGAGCTTGTGGATCGAAACAAGCTGCACACAGATTAGATTTGTTTTAGATTTAGATAGATTTAATTTAAGTCTAAAATAGATAGATTCGATTTAGTACCAAAATATATATTTTGGACTTTTATAGTTTTGGGCTTAGGGAGCAAGTTAAATCTATAAATAGAGGGGGTAATCCCTAATTTTGTAATAAAGTCAATTAAGTTGTATTCACAGAATTTGCAGTTGCAAGTGAATAACGGCGTTTTCTACCGTTTGTAGACAGAGAGAAATTCTGCAGAAAATAATTGTCTTCTTTTTTTTCTTCTTTTCTTTTCTCATAATTCTTTGTCATTGTGTGGTGATATCAATCTTGTTCATCAAGATTGGTAGAAATTCATCATAGATATTTGGTAGATTTCCAACATCTAGTATCAGAGCTCGATTTCAATTCAAGGAAAGTATCGATCAAGAACAATTGAGGAAAAAAAGAATTCACGATGGAGAATTATGGGAATGCAAATTATCCAGCAACTCTACCAATTCTGAAAGTAGACAACTGTGAGAATTGGTGCAAACAAATGAAAGTTTTGTTCAGGTGTCAAGGTCTTTGAGATCTTGTAAAAGATGGATTCGAAGCGCTTGGAGAAAATGCTTCAGAAGAAGAAAAGAAGAAACACACAGAAATTGAGAAGCTGAATTATAAAGCACTCTTTATAATTCATCAATGTGTGAGTCCAGAAAATTTTGAAAAAGTGAGTGATTCGGAATCTACAAAAGAAGCTTGAGATGTACTTGAGAAGTCTTTTGGTGGTGCATAAAAGGTGAAAGAAGTGAGGTTACAAAGTCACAAAAGAACGTATGAATTGCTTCAAATGGAAGATAGTGAGAGCATATCTGATTTCTTCACTATGTTTACAAAACTAGTGAATCAAATCAAGGTATGTGGAGAAACATTAACAACAAGAGATGTTGTTTCTAAGATCTTGAGATCTTTGGCTCCTAAGTTCGACCACGTAGTTGTGGCTATAGAAGAGGGGAAAGACTTGTCGAAATTGACAAAGGAAGAGCTTCAAGGGACGCTTGAATCTCATAAACAAAGAATGACTGAAAGAGCTGCAGGAAAATCGAAGAGTGATGTGGCTTTGCAGGCACATTCAGCAAAAGAAACCAAAGGCAAAGGAAAATGGATCGACATAGGTAGAGACAACTACAACAAATCGAATGGTAGAGGAAACCAAAACGAAGGAAACATGTCGAATCAAAGAAGATCATACCAAGGCAACCAAAGAGGTGGTGTTGCAAATAGAGGAAGAGGTGGTGGTCAAAAACCTGACAAGAATCACATTTAATATTACAATTGTCAGAAGTATGGTCACTATTTGAGTGATTATCTAGAAAAATGAAAGAATCAAGAAAGTGATGTAAAGTTTGCAAAACATGAAGAAGAAGAGATGATGCTGATGGTCACAACAAGAGATGAAGATAGATTCAAGAATCAATGGTACTTGGATTCAGGATGCTCATCACATATGTCTGGAAGGAAAGACTGGTTTGTCAACATAAATCCCTCAATGAAAAATATGATAAATTTTGCAAATGATAATACCCTAGCAGCTGAAGGTATTGGTGATGTTATGATTATGAGGAAAGATGACAAGAGGTCAGTAATTTCCAATGTGTTGTACATACCAGACATGAAGAATAATTTGCTCAGTATAGGGCAGTTGGTCGAAAAGAATTATAAAGTGTCGATCGAAGATAAGATAATGAGAGTCGCCGACGCAAATGGAAGATTAATCTTGAAGGCTCCAATGTCTCAAAATAGAACCTTCAAGATCGAACTAAATGTGATGGAGCACAAGTGCCTTTCGACTGCAGCTAGCAGAGATGAATGGATATGGCATTATCGACTAGGCCATCTCAACTTCAGAGAGATCAGAGATATGAAGAGAAGAAATATGGTTTCAGGATTGCCAGAAATCGACATTCCAAACGAGGTATGTGAGGAATGTGTGCAGGCGAAGCAGCACAAGAATAGCTTCAGCAAGGATGCATGAAGAAGGTCAAAGGCTATTCTTGAAGTCATATACTCTGATGTATATGGACCAATCCAGGTGGATTCGATGAGAGGTAAGAAATATTTTTGTTATATTCGTAGATGATTTCAGTCGAAAGTTATGGACTTACCTGATCAAGAAGAAAAGTGAAGTGATCGAGGTATTTGCCAAGTTTAAGTCTATGGTCGAAAGACAAAGTGATCGAAAACTCAAAGTTTTGAGAACTGATGGTGGTGGAGAGTATGTGTCGAAAGACTTTGACAGGTTATGTGAAAAGGAAGGGATTGTGTATGATATGGTGCCACCCTATACTACACAACATAATGGAACTGCAGAAAGAAAGAATCGAACCATCATGAATATGGTGAGAAGTATGTTGAAAGGAAAGAATTTACCTAAAGAGTTTTGGGGCGAAGTTGTGTCGACTGCAACATACATTTTGAACATATGTCCTACGAAGAAGCTATAAGGAATTACTCTAGAAGAATCTTGGTCTACTGTGAAACCTAGCTTAAGTCATCTGAAGGTATTTTGATCCGTTGCACATGGACATGTTCCAGATCAGTTGAGAAGAAAACTTGATGACAAGTCGAGTCAAATGATTCTAGTTGGATATCATTCGACAGGAGGTTACAAGTTGCTCGACCCAGTGAACAAGCAGATTGTGATCAGCAGGGACGTGATCATATATCATCTTAAAGAATGGGATTGAACTGAAAATGTCAAGAAAGATTCAGTGGGAATCCTACTTGAAGAACCATGAACTCAAGTCGAAAGAGAAGTTTGATAAGAGGAACCAGTAGTTATAGATCAACCAAGTACAAGCAGACCTTAAAGAACAAGACGCATGCATGTAAGATTGCAAGATTGTGTGATTACATCAGATGATGTGATAGATAATGAAGGTGAGTTGGTACATTATGATTTCTATGCATATGTCGAACCTGTCAATACAGCTGGAGCATTGAAGGTATCGAAGTGGGTGAAAGCAATTAACAAAGAAGTAAAGTCTATCAAAGACAACAACACTTGGTCACTTGTCGAATCGCCACAAGGCAAGAAGGCAATTGATGTCAAGTGGGTATACAAATTAAAGATGAATCCCAAAGGGGAAGTAACTCGACACAGAGCAAGGCTTGTGGAGAAAGGATTTCTACAGAAAGAAGGAATAGACTTCAATGAAGTATTTGCACCTGTTGCTAGGATCGAAACAATCAGGTTGGTTGTTGGTCTAGCAGAAATAAACAGATGGCACATATGTCAGATGGACGTGAAGTGTGCATTCCTGAATGGACCTTTAGACGAAGAATTTTATGTTAAACAATCATTTGGGTTTGTGAAACATGACGAAGAGAGAAAGGTGTACAGGTTGCATAAAGCCCTGTATGGATTGAAACAAGCTCCAAGAGCTTGAAATAAGAGAATCGATAGTTTCTTAAGAGAGAAGGAATTTGTGAAGTGCACAATTGAACATGGAGTATATGTAAGAAGAAGCAATAGTGAATTTCTTATACTATGTCTCTATGTCGATGATTTGTTGATAACAGGTAGCTGTAAAAGTGAGATCGAAGACTTCAAAGGTGATCTCAGCAAGGAATTTGAAATGTTTGATTTGGGTGAGATTTTATATTTCCTTGGCATCGAATTCTACAAGAGCAGTAGAGCTTTGATGATGCATCAAAGAAGATATGCAGGAGAAATTCTCAAGAGATTTGAGATGGAAGAATGCAACTCAACTTCGACACCTTCATAACTAAGACTACAACTGTCGAAAGATGCAGATGAAGATGATGTCGACCCAATCCAATACAGAAGACTTATTGGGTCATTGAGATACCTTTATCATACAAGGCCTGACTTAGCATATAGTACAGGTATGGTAAGTATATTTATGCAGAAGCCAAAGGTATCACATCTAGCAGCGGTGAAGAGGATACTAAGGTATCTCAAAAGAACTCTCGACTATGGCATTTAATTTCCTGCAACTGATAAAGGAAAATAATACAAGTTAGTGGGATACACTGATTCGAGTTGGTGTAGTGATGTTGAAGATCGAAAATCAACAGCAAGGTATGTGTTTATATTAGGTGGTGCACCAGTTGCTTGGAGTTCAAGAAAGGAACCAATAGTGGCATTATCATCATGCGAAGCAGAATACATAGCTGCTTCTCTTTGTGTATGTCAAACAACTTGGACGGTGTACTTGGTCGAAGTGATAACAGGGAAAGATCATGGAGCAATTACCATGAAGATCGACAACATGTCAGTTATCAATCTAGCGAAGAACCTGATAGCACATGGTCGTAGTAAGCACGTCGAAATGAGGTTCCACTATCTTCGAGAGC